CAACGCAGAGGTAAACCCATCTGGGCTGCTGCACTGTGGAAAGATATTGCTGCCAGGGTGCAGAACCTGGTGGTGAAGGTACGTCATGTAGATGCCCATGTACCCAAGAGTCGGGCCACTGAGGAACACCAGAACAACCAACAAGTGGATAAAGCGGCTAAGATTGAAGTGGCTCAGATGGACTTAGATTGGCAACGTAAAGGTGAATTATTTTTGGCCCGGTGGGCCCATGACACTTCAGGCCATCAGGGCAGAGATGCAACATATAGATGGGCCCGTGACCGAGGGGTGGACTTAACAATGGACACTATTGCCCAGGTTATTCATGAGTGTGAAACATGTGCTGCAATTAAACAAGCCAAGCGGTTAAAGCCTCTTTGGTATGGAGGACGATGGTTGAAGTATAAATATGGGGAGGCCTGGCAGATTGACTATATCACACTGCCACCAACCCGCCAAGGCAAGCGCCATGTGCTTACCATGGTGGAAGCAACCACCGGGTGGCTGGAGACATACGCTGTGCCCCATGCCACTGCCCGGAACACTATCCTGGGCCTTGAGAAACAAATTTTGTGGCGACACGGCACCCCAGAGAGAATTGAGTCAGACAATGGGACTCATTTCCGGAATAACCTTATAGATATTTGGGCCAAAGAGCATGGCATTGAGTGGGTATATCACATCCCCTACCATGCACCCGCCTCTGGGAAAATCGAACGGTACAATGGACTGTTAAAAACTACACTGAGAGCAATGGGTGGGGGAACTTTCAAGCATTGGGATACACACTTACCAAAGGCCACCTGGTTGGTCAACACCAGAGGATCTGCCAACAGGGCCGGCCCAGCCCAGTCAGAACTTTTACATATTGTAGAGGGGGACAAAGTTCCCGTGGTGCATATGAAGAATTTGCTGGGGAAGACAGTCTGGTAATTCCTGCTTCAGGTAAAGGCAAACCCACTGGTGGGATTGCTTTTCACCAGCGACTGGCCCTGACTCCCCTCCAGCCATCATCCCAACAGAGAATGAACTTTGAACATCATGGACCGAATGGACTCGGCAGCATTATAGGGATTGGTCCATGCACTAAGAAAATGATTTTTCCTCTTGGTCTGTATGTATATGGATGTATATATGTGGGAGAGCGATGGTGTATTGAAAAATGTGGGATCTGAGCACGACGTGAATGGTATGGAATAAGGGGTGGATAATGTCCTGGGTTCCGCAGTAGCAGTCATGTTTTTCCTTTGTGTTAACTGGTACAGTGCTGTGTTTTGACTTCCAGTTTGAGAACAGTGTTGGTGAAGCCGATGTTCTCGGTTGTTGCTAAGTGATGTTTACCCTGACCAAGGACTCTGTGAGGCTCATGCTCTGCCAGGGAGGAGGGGAGGCTGTGAGGAAGCAGAGACGGGGCGCCTGACCCGGGCTAGCCGGGGAGGTATTCCATACCACAGCACGTCATGCCCGGGGTGAGGGGCACCCTGGCACAGGTTGCCCAGAGAAGCTGTGGCTGCCCCATCCCTGGCAGTGTTCAAGGCCAGGTTGGATGGGGCTGGGAGCAACCCGGTCTGGTGGAAGGTGTCCGTGCTTGTGGCAGGAGGGTGGAACTGGATGGGCTTTAAGGGCCCTTCCAACCCAAAGCATTCTGTGATTCTGCGATCACTCGCAGACCTGTGTATTCAGGAGCATGAGATTTCTGTGCTCAGGAGCTCTGGCTGGGCTGGCAGCATGGAGAGTGAGACTCCACCCCTGATCCTTGCATATCCTGGGCTCTCCTCCAGTCCCAGCAGCCTGGGTTTTGGACAGGCCTTGTATGCCCACCATAAGGAGCTGGCAGTTGCCACGCTGTGAGCCTTTTGTCTCAGAATTTGGCTTTCCAACCTCAATTTTAGTGAAGGCTGCCTGGTCAAGATGTTTGGCTGCCGCCTTGTATGTTCTTTGAGGGGCTGGATCCATGGCCATTCCTCATGGAATGAGGGTGTGATTTAGTTTAGTCAATCTTGGTGTTATTCCTTTAGTGTTTCTGTACACAGAGATATTCTTTTGTGTTGTCTGCATCTTGTGTTGGGCCCGTTAAATAGGTTTGTGGGATTTTTTGCATGGTTTTGGATTGAAATATTCTCTGTCAAGGATAGGCCTTCAGCTTTAGGAAGAAACCCCGAGTGAAACAATAAAACTGTCTTAGTTGTATTTCTTGTCTCTCAAAAATCTCAGTTAAGAGAACACAAACAAAAAGCCTAAGAATAGCAAAAAGTAAAGGTATTCAACCATGCTTCAAGTGCTTGTTTTTAAAATGCCTGGAAACACAGGCAGCATTCCTCATCTTCCTGCAGAAAATTAATTAATTCCCCGAGCAGTTGCCCATAAAACATTACTCTGAGCAGGTAAAAGAAGCTCTCCTGCATAGAGCTGTTTTGTTTATATGTGCCTATGGCAACGCTGTGGAAATAAGTCTTTAGAGAGCCTTTTGTTTAAAAATAGGGTGTCAAGTGCCTTTGTTATTAAAAAATGTCAAGATGGATGAATCTCAAGTGTATCTGGTGGAAGATGACCTGCACAGCGGTCTGGAGCATTGTCAGCTATCTGCGAGACTTCTCTAATAACCTCTGAGATGTGCTAACATCAGGAGCGAGATTACTCACTTCCGAACATCTGACATTCCCAGTGGGAAGCTGGAGCATGAGGACAAATGTTGCTTGTAGAGCAATTAGAGCTGAGGGTGGGAGGTGTGCTTCCCATGCATCTTCTTGGCTCTTCTTCCAATTTATCATGAAGGAGTCACTGCTGAAGAAATGTCTCTTTAGGAGGAATAAATAAGGAAAAAAAGGGTTATACAATAAACAATTTCTTCTTGCAGATTTGTTTTTGGTTTGTTTTTGGTTTTTTTTTAAGGCAAAATGTGAACTTGTGTTGAACTTTAAAGTTACTGACTTTACATCCTTTAAATTGGGAGATACTGACTCTGACAGTTGTACATGCAGAGCTTTTTTAATGTTCCGGATTATATAACAGCATGGAATTTTAGAAGGAAAGCATAAAGTGCTTCTTGAATTGTCAGCACCATCCGAAATGACCTATGGTTTCTTGAGGACCTGTAACAAATTCCTGATTTTCTTCTTCCCATCCAACTCAGTGCTGGATTTGAAATTGCTTCGTATTGCAGCAAGTTACAGTATTTTGAGTAACCTCAGCCAGATTTGATTTCAGCACTAGTTCTTGGTAGCTAAGCATTTTTCTTCTGCAGGGACAGAAATATTTTTCTCCAAAAGCAATATCTGAAGTGCCTGCAAAGGCTTAGGAGGATGGAAGGGACCTCCAGTGCCTTGAATCCCAACATCCTTGCTCAAAGCAGGGAAACCAGAGGCAGCATCTCAGTCTTTGTCCAGTTGTGTTTTAAATTATCTCCAAGGATGGAGACTGTACAGCCTCTCTGGGTAATTTGTCCAAGTGTTCAACTTCCCTCAGGTTTTTATTATGTAAAAAAAAAGGAAAGTTTTAATGGAGTGGTGTGTATTTCAGTTTGACAAGAGGAAGGTCACTGGGCAGAATGTAACCAGCTTGACAACTCTAGTCTGGATAAATTCTCCATCAAGGCTGCCACTTTGTGCTTTATATACTTATTAAATGCAGGAACTTTATTTAATCTTGAGCTCTTCTTCTGGATAACAGCGTATGAACTTTGGTGGGTCGGTCACATCCTTTTCCATGTAGTCATGTATGTCCCTTAGATTTTGGGTGTTAGTGGAGTGTGTCTGAAGAGCTTATTTACAGTGATTTTAAGACCTTTCACTCTGAACTGAACTAGACAATGTTCTAGGAAATAATGAAGTTGGTAGTAAAATATTAAGGAGATAGTCCTGCGAGGTACTTTTAGTTGACACTGATCAGCATGCATGCAGTGAGTGCTGAGCATCTTTGGAGAGGTTCTGTGTAATATTAAAGGTAAGTTTTTTTTATCCCTTTCCCAAGTAGTGCATCAAAGTCCTAAGCCAGGAAAAGATAAGAACCCAGAATGGTTTGGCTGCTGGTTGGGTTTTTCACCTGATACTGCACACATCATCCCATCCTAACACTGCTGTGTTAGCATATTGAAGATAGTACCTCTCTGGGTGTGCAGATTAAAAGATTGTAGAGTCACAGAATGGTTTGGATTGGAAGGGACCTTAAAGCCCATCCAGTTCCAACCCCCAGCCATGGGCAGGGACACCTTCCACTAGACCAGGTTGCTCCAAGCCCCATCCAGCCTGCCCATTGAGCTTCTTTGGGCAGCCTGTGCTAGGGCCTCACTCCCTCACAGGGAAGAACTTCTTCCTAACATCTGTCAGAGAGGACGTGCAGGGAAATACCTTATGAACCTCTACAGTGGGAATTGGAGGTTGCTCTTGTTAGAAACTGCCTGCTGAGTGCAGCTGTGCAGAGCAGAGCCTCACACAAGCACCAGGTGGTACCAGAGCAGCTCAAAATCTCACACAGAATGTAAAACATAGCATGTTACTGACCCCAGCCTGCTAACAGTTTTCTTAACATTCTCTTTAAAGGCAGTACTGGACCATACCTTGCAGAGGTGGTGTCTCCTTTGAGACTGCAGAGAATTAATGTAGGTCATGGCTAGTAACACCGTCAGTCCGAGGTGGTGATTTCAGCAAGAGAAACTTGGCAGCCACTTCAGATACTGAACCAGTGCAGCAATCTGGGCAAATTAGCTTTAAGATCAGCCTCAGGAATGAAGCTCTTAAGCTTCTCTTTTTCTGTTTGCTTGGCTTGGTGCTGGCAGGGACATCTCATGGCTGCAGACTCATTAGTTTTGAAGATACTTAACCTCTAGCTAGAGATCTGGTCGGTGACCTATCAAGATTAGCATTGCCTGCAGTGAAAAGCTTTATCGTAGTAATCCTCTGCTAAGAGTCCTCCTGGCTGGACATTCACTGTATGATGTCCTGCATGTTAGTGGGTCCAGATTTCTTCTGGAGGACTGAGCACAGTAGGCAGCCCATGTGGGGAGTGTCTGTGTTGAAGGTGGCAAGAAGTGCTAGTTCGGATGGATTAGCTTATGTGACTGTGCTGATCTTTGCAGAGCTGATGATAAACCAAACAAATCAACGCTGTCAGCAGCCCTACTAAATGTTTTGCACTCTTTCTCTGGAACTTTCTGTGGGATCAGTTCAGAGAAGGTGCTACTTGCATGGGATCCGTATTTTTACTTTCAGAAGCAAGTTTGCTGTGTAAGTATGTTGTTAACTGTATTTTTTTTGCTTTAAGCAAGGTTTTGGAAGCTATAGTCCTTATATAGCTATAATCAAATTTATTAGTTATTATCAAGTCATAAATGGACTTTAAATTATCATCAGGTTTTAGTATCTGCTAAAATTACTTTACAGGTTTGTGGGATCTGTCAGATTTACATTTTGTGTTGAGTGCATAATCTGGTGCGTATATGTTAATAGGCACTTTCCAGACTGATCATCCTAAGAGTTTGGGTGCTCATTTTTGTTTATGTCTTTTATTTGTAGATCACATGCAGACAGTATATTTAGGAGTCTGCAGAACTGGGTTTGGAACAGAAAAAACATTTTTTCTGCACTCCTTGGGACCCTGGGTCTGAGATTGTTTCTTGTGTTCCACCAGGCTTGCTTGGATGAGGAGGACCTGAATATTGGGATGGGGTGGGGACAACAAATAAGCTGGAAGCATCCACCTTATAGCTGTATGGCAAGTCATGTTGAAAAACCCTTTGACCAGAAATAGTGCTAACATGTTTGTTGATACAGCAGGCTTTGTTCTCCGCTTGCATTGTCACTGGCACTTGGATAGTGAAGCTCAGCCTCAGCATGTCACAGGCTGCCCTGGGCTCAGAAGCCTTGTGCCTGCTCCTGACCTGGCTGCTGGGCTCTTGGCTGCCTCCAGCACCCAACTGGAGTCCTCCTGACATCCCTTTATCTGCGGGAAAGCAATGGTGGTTTGGGCTTGTTTTTTTAATTAGCATCTGTTATGAAAATATTATGAAAAACATGCAGGTCTTTAGTTTCTATTTCTAATGATTTGACAGAGGCAATTCGCAACCGCTTTTGAATAGTCTTTCATCTGGCTTTGGGGGCTTTTGCTAGAACTAAGGGTTTGCAAATACCAAAACCAATCAGGAGTTTGATTTCATCAAACAGCTTGTCTGGTCAACCTGTGCCAGAGCCTCACGACCTTCACAGGGAAGAACTTGTTCCTCAGATCTCATCTAAATCTCCCCTCTGTCAGTTTAAAGCCATTCCCCCTTGTCCTACCCCTACCTGCCTTTGTCAAAAGCCCCTCTCCAGATTTCCTGTGGGCCCCTTTAGGCACTGGAAGCTGCTCTAAGGTCTCCTCAGAGCCTTCTCTTCTCCAGGCTGAACAATATTTATTATTACCTAAATAATAATGTCTCTTGACACATGTAGTGACACTTTGTCTTTAAAGTACTTTGCAAATCTAAACGATCATTCTCTGTCTTATCAAAGTATTTCCTGCTTAACTCATCAGCCTTTAAGCTACCCTGGGAATCCAGGATCAGACAGCATTGCCTAGGTTGGTTGTTCTTCTGAATGCAAGGGAGTTATTGCCTTCACACCTCACTTTTCCTGCTTGCTTCCTGCACACCCTTGTACCTCCTCCTTTGAAAAGATAGCAGGGCTGTTGTAAAGCTTGGCCTGGGAAGCTTCTGTATCCTCTCTGCTGAGGTCAACCATATCAAATGTAGGCATTTAGCGGATTAATGGGTAAAAGCCACTGGCAGAAAAGCAGCATCTGCTTGCCAAATCATAACTGCTTTAGGATACTTGTAGCATCTGCAGGACTGTAGCACGAGAGGTAGGAATAACTCCTCTGATGGTCAAAAATGGGATTTGTTCAGGAGCAGTTCTTCAATGGTTTCTCTGTGGTGTTTACACAGAAACAAAGTAGTAGAAGATATTATTTCACTAGAATAATACTCTTGAGGGTGAGAGAATTGGAAATCAGATTGCATATAAGGGTAGAAAATAAATGCATTTATTTCTGTTTGGTTGGATCAGAATCTGGATACAAACTCATGGACCATAGCATCACTTCCTGTAGTGCCCGTCTTGGCATGGTGTGTCAGCACTCAAGCTGCATCTGGTAGGCAGTGTTACTGTATTTTGAATTTCAGTAGAAAAAAAACGTGTTTCCAGTGTTACTCATTCTTTCCAGTGTGTTCCTTGTGGGGCACCCAAGCTCAAATGCTGGTGCCACGAGCAGTGTTGTGACTAGTCCATCTTGTTTCCCTTTGAAGATTCAGTTCCTCTTTGCTCACTGCAGCCAAAGCATGGTACGTCTCCTACAACATTTCTCAGCCCTTTCGGAAGTGGGGCAAACCTGGGACATCCCTGTTTGGCTCAGATTAGGAGCTGGAAACACCTCCACTTGCATGGGGCTTGGGATGGAGCAGGAGGATGAGCTGTTGGCTATTGGCTGCCTGTTGTCAGCTCGGGGAAGATAGTGGTTCCATGCCTAGTTGGGAGGCCAGTGTGGGCAAGGAGAGCCTGTGTCCTGCCACCTGCCAAAGGAGCTAAGCTGATGTTAACTGAAAACTGCTGACACCATCTCTGCCTCTGAATTTAGGTAGAGAAACACTGACGTAGTTCCTTTATAGAACCCTAGAATCCCAGGTTGGAAGAGACCTCAAGGGTCATCTGGTCCAACCTTTCTAAATAAAGCATGACCTACACTAAATGGCTCAGCACTGTATCCAGCCGAATCTAGCATTGTCCAACATTGGGAAGTCTACCAGTTTCAGGGGGAGATTATGCCAGTGGCTGGTTGTTCTTATTGTGAAAACTTTTCCTCTTGGGTCCAACCAGAATCTCCCTGGAAGTAACTTGTGCCCATCACCCCACATCTTTTTCATGGCACTCTTTGTAAAAAGGGAGTCTCTGTCATCTTTGTAGCCACCCTTTAAATACTGGGTCAGTATTTAAAGGGTGTCCCCTGTCCCTCCTGCTATGCTGCAGTTCATGTAATGCCTCCACAGGAGTTAAAGCTCATTAATTCTTCTACCTTTCCTGGGGATTATCTGTGAAGTCCCTGCTAGTGTACTGCTGGTGATGACTCAAAATAGGAGTATTCAGACTGTCACATGCCCCTGACTTTGTCAAGTTTTAGACCCCAGGGACACTGTACGGCATTGAGCTCCAGGCATTAATTATGACAAATAGTATTTAAGTAATAATTGAAGATTTTCATGTGTTTCTGACTTCATCGAATCCCTTTCTGTTCTTCTAAGAACAAAATCTCTGATCAGGTTGCTCTAATCACCAATTAATTTGTTCTAGTATTGTTTCATTATTTTCTGATGTGAAACAAGCAAAAAAGCCACTGCCCCAGAAAACCCATCTCTCTTCTTTCTCAATCACTTTATTATTAGAATTCTTACAGTCTCTCTGAATCTTTGTTCTGCCTTGCTGTGAATTCTCTGTTTGCAACTAGCTGGTACATCAGCCTCCTGGAAGAGGCAGTGATTGTTCCCTTTAAATACCAGCATTCTGTTCCTTCTGTGCATTAGCGCTGATTTTGCATTTATTAACTGCAGTATTGCACTGAATTAAGGGTCTTCTTCAGGGATATCTTCTGAGGCATACCATCAGTTTCCTTTTCTGAGCTCCAGTCTTGTGAGTAGTATTGTTAGCCTGAGCAAAGGCAGAAGTATTGAAAACATAGAGATGTATTGGCAAGAGAGTGTAGCATATTGTGTTAGGGGATGAGAGAAGGAGATAATGTAATATTTTTTTATTTTTATTTTTTTCTGTGTTTCTTTCCAGAAGGAACTGGAAATCAGTTTGAAAGTACAGTGTTGTCAATTGGAGACCTGAATTTGTCAACTCTTCTGTCTCCTTAAAATGAAAATTAATGTGAAAAGTCATTAGTCCGGGTGTTTGTTTTGAGCCTTTCCACTGTGTTTGTCGTATTTAAAAACTTTAGGACTTAGGTTGCCCTAAGAACCTGTGGTTGCCCCAAGAACCTGTGGTTGCCCCATCCCTGGCAGTGTTCAAGGCCAGGCTGATGTGGCTTTCAGCAACCTCGTCTACTGGAAGGCATCCCTGCCCATGGCAGGGTTTTGAAACAGGATGGTCCTTAAGGTCCCTTCTGACCCAAACCATTCCATGACTCTTTTTCTATGTTTTTGTTTCTTTTGTACAACTGCAGGGTCTGGAAATGTCTTTGAAAGCTGAAAGGACCAGGCTTTTTACGATAACAGCTGAGACTATGAGAGAACTACAATAGGGTGAACACTATCGACCCAGCTGGAGTTCAGGAATTTCTTGAGTGTTAATTTGAGGTGTAAATCACAAGCCCTAGCTCAGTTGTAGCTTAGCTTTCATATGCTGTAGGTACTGATACAGCTCTTATTTACAAGAACTGGATTTATTCCTTAGTGTTTTTTCCTGTCCTGGCCATTATCATTAGCTGCTACTTTTGTTTCAACAAGTGGTTGTTTCAACAAGAGAAAAAAAAAAAAGCTGAAGTCTTTAAAATAGAATTGTAGACTGGTTTGTATTGGAAGGAGCCTTAAAGCCCATCAAGTTTCAACTAAAAAAAAAAAAAAATCAAAACCAGCCACAGAAGCTGAGGAAGAGGAGACCCCATGGTGTGTCTTAGTGTTGCTCCTGGAGAGTGTCTCTGCTCACAACTGAGCTTTCTTTGCTTTGATTTTGAAAACATCTTCAAACTGCTTGTAAGGACTTCGGGAAATGGAAAATGTGCGTGATCTGCATATTTTGGATGTTTTTTGTGACAAACCTTATTTAAATACTTTTAGGTAGACTAATTTCTTCTTTATTTCCATGCATTTTTCTGTGGGACATTTGTAAGCTGTGCATGGTGCCTACCAAGACTGCGGTAATAAAATTCTTGACTCAAATCATCAGCATCTCAAATTGCTGAAGGCTGTTATTCTCAGTGCAGCTGTTTTTAAAATGGGGAGAGCAGAAAAAAGATGGAAGTTTTCGGATATAAAGTCAGATATAAACCATCAGGCTTTGATGTTTTGGTGTGTTTAGAGAACTGTCTTTAGTGTAAACTAGGGGAAGATAAGGCTCAAGTGTGAAATACGAAGATATAAAAATAAAGGTCTCTGAGGTATTTAGAGAAAAATGACTCACTTAAATGATTTGTCTTCCTAGTAAAATAGAGAGGACACCATCCTGTATGTACTGTGTGTCTGTGTGGTGGTACTAATACTTTTGTAACTATGGTCAGATTTGGTAGGGATGAGTTAATGTGTGGGGAGGAGAGGAGGGGCTTTAGATTTCCTCCTTCACACTGTGACCCGATGAGCAAGTTGCCATCAGTGTTTTTGTACTGACAGACCTGAAAGCTTTGCTCAGCCTCGCAAGTTCAGTCACTCGGTGGTGTTCTCGTGCTTTCATTAATTAAAAATCTCCCTAAAGATGAATGTGAGGAACCTAGGATGAATAGTCCAACATCTGAAGACAGGCCAGCACTCTGACATGCAAGTCCATTCTTGAACTTATGTGTGTATCAAGATGCAGAAATTCCCATTTTCTTTCTTATATTTGAAGAGTTGGATCAAAGCAGTAAAAAATGAATATTCATGGTCTCCAGTTTGGTTAACGTGTTCATGTTGTCTTTTGGCCTCTGAATGTCATATCATGCAGTAACCCATTTTAAATGTTTTAGTTTAATTTTTCACTGTGTCATTTTCTCTGATTTCAGTATTCCCAGGAGAGAACATGGATGAAAAGCTGTCTTACAAAGAATTTCTTGATCGCAATGAGTCCTGGACAATGGATGACAGAGACCTGTGCTTTGAATCACAGCCAGTATTCAAACCCACGGAGATGGCTGGTATGACTTTTAGTGTTAACTCTGTAGCATCAGTTACTTTGAGTTGTGCGACATGATAGAGTCCTAGTCTCCATCCCTAAGGGTGGTTTTGTTCTTGCCTTCTACTAATGCCTGTGTTCTTTAAGATGCGTTGCTCAGTTTTCCTAACATGCTTAACGTCTTAACACCAGGGTGAACTTCGCACATCAATCCCCTAACTTGCCTTTGAGTGTAGTCTAGCTGGTTAAAAATGGAGTTGCTAGTCCAGCATTTTGGAGCACATAGTGTGGGTGAGCAGGTTTCCCCTGTCTTGGTTCACACAGAAATAGCTGGTTTTGGTTGACTCCCACAGTTCAACCACTCTGGAGTACTGTGGCTTTCAGTGCAAACCTCACCGGAATTGTTGACAGCCAAAAGCCAGTCTTCCCTGGCTCTCAGCAATGCTGGTTGCAGTTGTCACGTACCAGTGCCTGCAATGCAGGTCGGTCTGTTCCAGAGGCAGCCCATGTAGCTGCTGACTCTCTTGAAAATTAAATGAACCTTGTGTAACTTGCCCCTGCAAAAAGATACCCTTTCACCCAACAACTTTCACACAGTCTTCCCTCAATTTTGAACAAGATTATGGAAAATTCCTTGCTAGCTCTTGGAGGGTACGAGAAAAGCATGTACTAACAGGCAACAATCCTGGGAAAGCTACTGGCTGAAACTTTCTCAGTACATATTTTTGAGTAATGTAAAACTGCTTACTAAATTATTTTCTTGCTATCTGAATCTCATATTTACTAAAAGATTCAGTGGGGAAATTATATACTGTTACAAGGGTAAGAAATGATTCATGGAACAACTGGAACAAAAGAGCCACTAGTTTCTAAAACAGTTACTGGGCTTTTCCTTCCCGTTGCTGTATTAGATGGAAGAATGAGAATTTGATGGCTCAGTAGCCAGATGACAAAGTTGTTGATTAGGAGCAATTTATATACCTAGCCCATCACCCAATATTCTTTTGGCCTGAATAATGTGAATCTCTGGGTTATCTGTTGCATGAAACCACATTTCCTTAGTTTTCATGGCTTTGAAGTATTTTGCGCACCAAGAAGTATACCAGGTATACTTCAGTGTAAAAGGATTCCTCCATTCTGCTCTTCCTGATGCTGTATGAGCAAGCGATTCTACTTAAAGGATGTTTGATGAAATACCAAGAAGTTCTTCCCTGTGAGGGTGGTGAGGCCCTGGCACAGGTTGCCCAGAGAAGCTGTGGCTGCCCAATCCCTGGCAAAGTTCAACGCCACGTTGGACGGGGCTTGGAGCAACCTGGTCTAGTGGAAGGTGTCCCTGCCCATGGCAAGGGGGTTGGAACTGGATGATCTTAAGGTCCTTTCCAACCCAAAACATTCTATGATTCTGTGATTCCCAAGGAGAGAATTCTTTGGTCAATGGTTTAACTGGTCTCCTGACCAGCATTGCTGTAATTTCTCATTCCTTGGTGAGAAACCTGGGAAATGCCAGCAGTGTCGCTTCTGTGAGCATCTGGTTAGTAGGTTGAGAGAGGTCCTCCTTCCCCTCTACTCTGCCCTGGTGAGACCCCATCTGGAATATTGTGTCCAGTTCTGGGTCCCTCAGTTCAAGAAGGACAGGGAGCTGCTGGAGAGAGTCCAGCGCAGGGCAACAAAGATGATTAAGGGAGTGGAGCATCTCCCTTATGAGGAAAGACTGAGGGAGCTGGGTCTCTATAGTTTGGAGGAGACTGAGGGGTGACCTTATTAGTGTCTATAAATATATAAAGGGGGAGTGTCACGAGGATGGAGCCAGGCTCTACTCAGTGGCAAACAATGATAGGACAAGGGGTAATGGGTACAAACTGGAACACAAGAGGTTCCACTTAAACTTGAGAAGAAACTTCTTCTCAGTGAGGGTGACAGAACACTGGAACAGGCTGCCCAGGGAGGTTGTGGAGTCTCCTTCCCTGGAGACATTCAAAACCTGCCTGGACACATTCCTGTGTAACATTATCTAGGTGTTCCTGCTTCGGCAGGGGGATTGGACTAGATGATCTTTCGAGGTCCCTTCCAATCTCTAGCATACTGTGATCTGCAGGTGCATTTGAGTCTGCTGTCAACTTTGTTCTTCTATATTGCAAATGCTGTGTTGGGATCTGGCAGTGAGGCTTAACGCTATGAAGTAACAGCTATGAGCAAAACTGTACGTATGTATTTTACATACTACCTATAGTAAATCTTGTTTTAAAGGTGTTATGTAATTACAATTAATAAAACTGACATTATCTAATTACTTGCAAGCTTTGGAAGTGCTGCAAGACCCTTAATCACAAGTGGATCATGACTTATTACTGTAACTACACCTAAATATCTAAACAGGAAGAGTTCCTATTTGAATGAGCTACAATAACACGTTTGTTAGTCCATAGTCATTGGCCAATAGGAGCTGTGTTTCTGACAGGGAAGGACATGAGTGTCTGTGGAGGTGAGCTGAAAAGAAAGTTTCATAAATGTTGTGTTGATCTTACCTCCAGCTGTCTAGAAACAATATTGTCAGATTCTTCACATTTGTTTGGCTTCGTAATATTCTAAACAAGCTGCAAATTTTGGGCAAGTAGAGCATTATTTTCAGGGCTTGTTTAATGGAAGTGCAGAGAATTGCCTGAGCTTGCCATAGCCCATCCAGGCAGTTCATTCTTACCCACCCACCTTTCAACTTTCATCTGCAATGTGCTTTCTGGGACCATTACCTTGTCATCAATATTTAAAGTATGGCTACAAAGAAGACAGAGACTCCCTATTTTCAAGGAGTCCCATGGAAAAGATGAAGGGTGATGGGTATAAGTTACTCCCAGGGAGATTCTGGTTGGACCCAAGAGGCAAATGTTTCACAGTGAGAAGAAACGGCCACTGGAATAATCTCCCCATGGAAGTGGTGGACTCCCCAGCGTTGGACAGTGCTAAGATTCAGCTGGACACGGTGCTGGGCCATCTAGTTTAGGTCATGCTTTATCTAGAAGAGTTGGGCCAGGTGATCCTTGATCTCCTTCCCAACCTGGGATTCTAGGATTCTGTAATCAGCAGAGCAGTATCAATAAGTCACAAAAATGCTAAAACTTGAATAGAGCATCAGCCCACTTGAATCTGTGGAGGATCTTTGGAGATTGAAAACAGAAGTTTGGCCATAACTCCTCCCTCTGGAGCAGAGACAGGGTTTAAACTGGGTTGGCCGTTTTTCCCACATCATCTAACTCCTGGACAAAGAGATCATCAGCATCTCTTTTGTTTCTTAAATTGATTTCAGTTGTGATGCTTTTTGTGGGTTTGGGGTGGGGGGATGGGGGGGTTTGGTTGGTTGTTTTTTTGTTTTTGTTTTGGTTTTGTTGGTTGTTTTTTGTGTAGGGTTTTGTGGTGTTTTGTTTTCAGTAGGAAAAAAAGGCAGTTATTTAGTCTTGGTAGTACTGTTTTCAACAGTTTGAAATGAAAATTTTCTGGAGTTTACTCTGAAGCAGGACATAGTCTTGGCATCTCAAACAGTCTGATAGATTTATAAAAGAATTCATGCAGCTCCCCTGACAGTGACATCTTGGAGCACCATGGCCATGTGAAGAGTTGAAGTTTGGCTATTAACCCCTCAGATAGCATGCCTGACATAAAAATGAAAATCAGCCTTCAACTGAATCCCTTTTAATTGTGCTTAACTGGAAGAAATCTGTGCAGTGCCTAAGAACTGCTGTGCAACAGCCATTTCAGGAACAGAGAGTTCTTCAGCTCCTGTGTAACTCAATCTGTGAGGGAGTCATGGGAAGCATTGCTCATCTGCAAGAGGCCACTTGAGTCGAAACCTCTCATTGCTCGGCTGGGCCTGTCTGAAGTGCAGTATACATCTGGCACAAGTCAGCAAGATGTGTTAGGAACCAGTGATCCTAAAACACGTCTAGGGGGTTGTAAGCTACAACTACAGAATAATTTGTTTTGGGACAGGAATGCCACGTTTCTTTCCCCTTGCAGTGTCTTGCCCTTGACTGTATTATGGTATGGTGACTAACTCATGGAAGGGTCGTGTCTCCTCTTTGTTTTATTCTGTCAGTGAGGCCATCTGTCTACTCCCTGCCTCATGGCATTTCAGTTTAGTATTCCATCTCATAAAACCCACCATGGTGATTCTCTCTGTTGTTCCGGTTTGAATGCCCATGCTGATTGCTTGAGGGGAAAGGAGATGTGTGCACACAGAAAATAAAACTTGCAGAGAAGGAATTTTCTCTTGCTGAATCCTCAGCTGCTGGAATACCATCTTTTGCAGGGGACATTGATGTATCTACTTAAAACACAGACCAAGAGGAGAACAAAGCTAACACACATTAGACTAACCGAAGTTGACGCCAGCTGACTTGCAAACATAGACTGAAGATTGTGACAACCAGTGTGTCTGGTCTGGCACTAAGGGCAAAAGCTGTTCATCTGCCTGGGACACTGGGAAATGGGTTTTTTTCCTCTCTGGCTTGTAATTTGGTTAAAATACTGGCTCATCAGTCAGTTTATGCTGGTGTACTGTTCTTGGAGAGCTTACACAAGTTTTCCTGAGTCTGCTCCTGACTTACCTGATCAGGAGCTCAGCCCTTCTTCCTGACTCAGGTTAACTGTATGTGTCTCTCAGTTCAGAAACAGATGTGTCCTTCTTGAGGGGAGGAGACATGTTCTCCATGCAACAGTTGTAATCTAAACTTTGAGTTCAGTTTTTCTGGAGCAGTCTGAGCAACCAAGTTTTACTGTTGGGCAGAAATTCTGCTTATGAAGGTGGTTGCCCCTGGCAAATAGTCTTGAAAGCAGCTTTCCCTTGGAAGCTCAGTGATGGTGTCAGATGCATCGTCATCTTGTTTCTTGAATAATCTTACTCTGCACCATGTCTTCCCCCTGTGCGGTGACCCTGGCCTCATACTTCTCTCCTGCCAGATTCCTTCAGCATGCACAGAGGGGACAATCTGCCTGACTTATTTCCTACTGACATGAAGAATGTGCCGCTGTTCACTGACCATGTTGACGCTTCCAGAGGCATCCGTGGTGAGTTCCTCCTCTGCTTTTGTCGCAGATAGATAGCTTTTGGTGCTTTCTCTGTTGATTTTTGTGTAATGAAAATTAATAAGCTGGTAAGCTCACAGACCATATAATGAGGGTTTTGCGTGTGCCTGAAGTCATTCAATAGCTCCTTCCAGAAACTGGTTATTTTGGGGTTTTATTTTGGTTTGGTTTGGTTTGGTTTGGTTTTGGGGTTTGTTTTTTTTTTTTGGTTGTTTTTTTTTTTGTGGGGGTGGGAGGGTTCAGTTTATTTAGGCAGAAGGAAATAGGACAACTAGACAAGTTGGAAACATAAAATCGCAGAATGGTTTGGGTTGAAAGGAATCTTAATGCTCATCCTGTTCCAACTCCCTGCCATGGGCAGGGACACCTTCCACCAGGCCAGGTTGCTCCAAGCCCCATCCAGCCTGGCCTTTGAACACTGACAGGGATGGGGCTTCTCTGGGCAGCCTGTGCCAGGGCCTCACCACCCTCACAGGGAAGAACTTCTTCCTCAGATCCCATCTCAATCTCCCCTCTGTCAGTTTAAAGCCATTCCCCCTTGTCCTGTCCCTACCTGCCCTTGTCAAAAGCCCCTCTCCAGCTTTGTTGTTGGCCCCTTTAGGCACTGGAAGCTGCTCTACGGTATCCCTGGAGCCTTCTCTTCTCCAGGCTGAGCAAGCCCAGCTCTCTCAGCTTGTCTCTATAGCAGAACTGTTACAGTGCTCGATGCATTTTCATTGTTGAGGTTGAGCTTACTGGTACCTTTTGTCTTCATGGCTAGAAATTAAATACACTGGATATTTTTCTACTAAGTGGTCCTCATTTTTGTGACTATGGGGGTTCAGGTGGTTATTAACAAGAATTCATGGGAGCAGAAGCAAAAAGCAGAGGTGCAGTAATTTGCCTGTGCTTACTGTCTTATGCCTTGTTACAAAGTTATATATAGAGACATAATTTACAACATCGTTTCTAAAGGTGAGCTGAGAGAGTTTACAAACTTTATCTGAGCTGCTTGTGAGCAGAGCAGAATAGTTTATTTTCCAAGTGTTGTACAGACTTCAAATTTTGCAGGGGAGTCGTTAGGGCTGGTGTGATGATTAACAGCTGGCCTTTTATTTCATTAGCACCACATGATTCTATGATGGTACCTGAACAACCTTTCTTGGGGGCCCTGTATTCGCCTGCAGAGGCTCTAGACCAGTCAGCCTTCATTGACTTGGATTCAACAGCAGAATTTCTGCAAGACAAAGCAGGTAAGAAACAGATGTTTTGCTCTTACTGTGTGTCTAGCTAGCTGTGTTTGAAGGGCATGCAGCTGGAAAATCTTGGTTTACTAGTCCAAAAGAATTCTTGGTGGGGGAGTTGATACATAAAATGAGCCAAGATTAGACACTCTCGTGTTGGTAATGACGGTTCTTCGTTGTTTGAGAATGTTCTGGAATGCTGAGAGATCACAGACTGGTTGAGGTTGAAATGAGACGTCTGAAGGTCATCTTATTGGACCTCACCTCAGGCAGGGCCACTTAGAACCAGTTGTCCAGAAGAACTGAGGAAGGAACCTGCTCTGTTGGGTCCTGGGCCAGTGGTGGTTCTGACTCTTCTCTGATGCAAGCTTTCACCAGCAATAGTCACAGAAGAACATGATGTTCTGTTACCATTCTTAAAGGGAGCTGGAAAGTTACCTGAGAATGAACTCACAAAACAGTGAAGTCAGTACCTTCAACTGAAAAAATTAAGCAGTGTCAGTGGCAGGACTAAATGTGTGTTTTCCACAGTGCCTGAAGAACACTGGATGGGAGTTCAGAGTGACATGGAGGGACCAGATGCCTCTTTCTTTGTTGAGCCACCAGGTAAGAATAAAAAATGACTTGATCTGCAGGAACTGTCTATAGAGAGTTTCTGAACAGCAGAAGCAGAGCTTCTCTCCTTGTCTGCCTTTTCAAGAAACACCAGGTTCTAGTGGAATGAAGCAGGACCTTGTTTCTGGATCTCAAATCAATATAGAATAGAAATGCATGTTTTGGAGAGATGTGACTTAAAAACATTTTCTGGTTTAGTGCTGTGAGGGATAGCAGAACTCTTCATTTTATAGGTTGTTTACTTCTAATTTAGAATAAAAAATTTAATATATGCAGTTGCAAGCCCAGTTGTGGGTAGACACTAGTGGCATGCCCTTTCGCAGGGCATATCGTGTAGCAGGGCTTTAACCTGCTGAAAGCCTACCCTTTTCATTGGTTTTGGGGAATTAAGTTAGCAGATGTAGAAGTGTGAAAAGCAATACATTCAGCAGAAAGCTCTGTGGATTCCGGACTCTGTCTCCCATTACTTTAATTTCCAGTTGGGATGGTGTTCAAGCATTATTTGACAATAAAATAATAAATAGGATGAATAAAATTTGCTCTTGAAAAGAAACTTTTAAAATGGAACTTCACTTTTGTCAAGGATTCTAATTTTTGTACGCACTGAGAGTCAAATCTGCTGACCTGAGTGATAAGTCAGAGCACTTGTGTTCACTTCTTCCAAGGGTCAGTGCAGCTGAGGACACCAACAAACACAATTTTGGCTAATGCATAATCAACAGACTTTTAAACTAAATCCTAATTGAAAACCTGTGTCTTAAGTCCAATTATATTGAGGGTAGATTTAGATGAGCTACTAGGAAGAAGTTATTCCCTGTGAATATAACCTGAGGCACTGGCACAGGTTGCCCAGAGAAGCTGTGGCTGCCCCATCCTTGGCAGTGTTCAAGGCCAGGTTGGACAGGGCTTGGAGCAACCTGGTCTAGTGGAAGGTGTCCCTGCCTGTGGGAGCGAGGTTAGAACTGAATGGTCCTTAAGGTCCCTTCCAATCCCAACCGTTCCATGATTCTATGTTTCTGGTTATAGTTAAATCTTTGAAGTTCCACTGTGTCATAATTCCACTGCAGTTGCATATATATTACGATATTTGATCCATAATGGGATCTTTATTGCTGATTTTGGTGAACAAGTGAAGAAGAGAGTAGTTTGACATTGCTTCTAGGTGGAAATTGTTTCTGGAACTGGTGGCCCTACCTTGGGCTCAGGGTAGAACTGGGATGCTTTGCAACTGAATGTTCCTGAACCTTGTAATGGCAGTTTCTTCTCTCAGGATACAAGTGTTTTCCTAGGTATTGCACAAGTTAATTATCTGAAAATTGAGAATAAAAACTGATACTGTTTTTGTCCAGTCCAACTGGGATGCTGAGGAGGGGGAACTTTATCATTAAGGCTGCTGCTACAGGCAGCACAGACCTGGCAGCAACCTGAGAGGGTGATTCATGTCCTGGCAACCCCAGAAGAGAAAGCTGCTTGCTAAGATCTTTCCAAGTGCTTAATTAAACTTCATTTTATATGCCCAGTGCCCCCCACTGTGACAGAAGCAATGAACCAGAATTTGCCAGAAGGCCCTGCAGCAGTGGCTCCTGGTTTCCTTTCTACTGCGGTAACAACGTCCCCAGGAGAGGCCAAAGCTACTGATAGACCAAAAGCTGCGGCATCAGGTAACGCTGCTCCAGTCTAAAGATTGGTGCTGGGTTTAGGCCCTTTGTGAGCAAGCTTAGTGGTCAAAGACATTTTGACCACAATTGGGATTGCCCCACCTGAAGGAAACATAGCAAGGTATTCACAAATCCTGTTGGGACTGAATATTTAATCTTCATCACCAATAATACCTGAAGTGTGTTGGTGAGAAATAGCAAGTCTACTCAGCTTTTCAACTGATGTCTTCTGCACCAGTAACTGTTTTAGCGATTCTTTCTCAAAATTTCAGCTCCAGAGAAATGTGAAAGTGTGTCAAGAATGTGGTTATACCATGAGTCTGATGCTGTATATAAATACCTTAAAAAATGTTTTAAGGAGAGTCTTTAAAACAGACAGTTTTTAAGTTGTTTAAGTACAGCATCAGACTAGTGGTATATTTTTCATCAGTCGTTGTCCAGTTTCTTTATGCTTTATTCCAGTCCTTCCCATGATTCACCAGGGAACATCCATACTATTTTTAATATCTATTTCTTCTGTAAAATGACAATCTTTAAAGTTTATTTTGGAAAGGATCATGATATCACTTTGAAAAACAAACAATCAAACAAACCCAGATGAAGGCTAGTGCATAATGGATCTTTCTGGTTTTATCTAAATGGATCCTGAAGTGCTACTTTAAAAAGCACTTTTCCCATTTTTCTTATTTCTTTCCTTTTTCAGTTTAAGTATCTAATTTAAGATTTAATATCTTCTCCATTGTTTGGGGAGGATATTTTCAGATGTGACTGAATCAATTAGTAGAAATATTTAAAGGGGGATTTTTGTTTTTTTTTTTTTTTTAAACATCTACCCAGCATAATATCCGAGCTGTTCAGGTCACCATGCTGCATTATACAGAGTATGGGTTGAGCTTGGGGCTATTGAAATGAATAGATGCAGAAGAGAAATCTAATGCTTCTGGTAATTTATGAAAACTTGCCTCTAGACAGCTAAAATGTTCAAGTAAAATAGTCTGAAAAAATTCCTTTAAGGGGATTTTATGAAAAGGCTGACTTCAGTGCAGAGGCTTGCATTGTGAACTGACAAATGTTATTCTGAAACTCATAGCTCAGTGGTCAGTAGATAGTATCTAAAAAGTTAACAAGGCCATATTCTGTTGGAATATGCTGCTCCCAGTGCATCTGGCAGTGCCAGTCTCTCGCAGCTACATATCACCAGGTAGTTTTTAAATTAAAACAATGATTCTGTTGGTTGATATATGTTAGGAGCAGACGGATGTCTAACACTGTAGTCAGGGATACAAAACAAAGCATGTGAGGCTGTAGTAGGAAAAACACTTGGGTGCACTGAGGAGTGTCATAAAGGCCACTACAACTTGAGTGCACTGATGTAAGGGGGGGCAGTAAGTGATGCTGAAAGACAACAGACAGGGAGCAAAATCCCCATCTTCTCTAGTCATAAACCCCCACTGTTAGGTATTTACATTCTGTACTTTTGCATTGATTTCTGATCTGCGTTTCTGCAGCAGATGCCAGGTGTGTTCCTCCCTCAGATGTCATGTTTGTTTTCACTGAAAAGGCTGGGTCTGTTGTTACAGGAGACGCCAAGCCTCCTCAAGCTCTGGATGCTGGATTTGCACCCACAGTTGAAGCCAATCCTTTTCAGGCTATGGATGTTGGGTTTGCTCCTGCACCGGAAGTCGAGCCTCCTTATGCTGTTGATGCATCTGCTCTAGTGGCAGACACCAGCTTTGCCCCAGCAGATGCTATGTCCCATTACACTATGGATTTGGAGTTTGCCCCAGCAGAAGATGCAGGGTTTGCCCCAACAGCAGATGTGGAATCTCACAATGCTATGGATTTGGCATTTGCCCCAGCAGCAGATGTGGAATCTCACCATGCTATGGGTATGGCATTTGCCCCAGCAACAGATGTGGAATCTAACCATGCTGTGGATTTGGCATTTGCCCCAGCAGCAGATACTAAATCTCATCATGCTTTGGATTCTGAATTTGCCCCAGGATCACATGCAGAGTTTGCCCCTGAGGCAGAAATCAACCAACATCATGATATGGATTCTGGGTTTGCTCCTGTAGCAGACACCAAGCCTCTTCCTGCCGTGGATTCTGGGTTTGCTTCTGCAGAAGCTAAGGCTACCACTGCAACTGACACCACGATTGCTACTTCTGAAGAGCTGATGACTTCTGAGTCTCCTCTTGAGCAAGACAAGTCACCCTTCTGCAAGCCTCCTGCAGGTGTGTTTGATTTGGCCTTGAAGTAGCATGGCAAGTGGTGTGAGAGGTCACTGCAACTTGGCGTAGCGCTAGCAGCAACACTTCTGATAGCACGTAGTGATGGCTACACAGATGCACAATTGTCATAAGACTGTCAAATAAAACTTGTATTTTTTTTTTTAACAGTTAAGATTATCATAAAATCCTAGGATAGTTTGGGTTAGAAGGGACCTTAAAAGATCCCTAATTCTAACCCACTGCCACAGGCAGGGACACCTTCCACCAGACCAGGTTGCTCCAAGCCCCATCCAACCTGGCCTTGAACACTGCCAGGGATGGGGCAGCCACAGCTTCTCTGGGCAGCCTGTGCCAGTGATACTACGATATGACTTGCACAAAACATTGTAAGTAGAGCTCAGTTTGGCTGTCAGGATACAGAGAAAGTACTTACCAAGGATTTTTCCCTTCACAAAATATAAAATTAGTCTTGATGACTACCTTTTTTTTTTTTTTTAGACTTGGCATTTTTAGCAATGATGTCTGTTTTTCAAGACAGCCATAGTGACATTTTAGTTCATCCCTGTCAGTACTTGTTTTTGTATCACTGTCATCCTTGGCTGATACTGAAATCTCCACAGATCCTGCAGTGTTTTCCAACAAAGGTTCTTATCTCAGCACCAGTTTCTAAATAGACTGATAGGCTTTTTGGGTAATTTTGTGACATTTACTTGGAATGACTATAGGCATTGAAGTGGCAAGGCAGGCATTTTCATTTTTTCCATGTGGTGGACAATAGATTTGCTGTGCTACTTAGATGTCTCAAAGGGCACCATGGTTTTGGAGACAAAATGACTGTCAACATATAGGAAATAGTACTGGGCAGAGGCAGTATAGGTGGACTGGTTGCAGGTTGTGTTGGAGTGAGATATTTTCTTTCTTACTTTTTAATATTCTTCAGTTTAATGATAGGAATAACTGTCAGAAGTGGGATGTTTTAACAAAAAAAAACTTTACTAGAATGTAGTAACTGAGAAGCGTAGATGGGTGAATGAAAGAGTAAACACCTGACAATACAGGAAGGATATGCTTTAGCTGTGCACTTAGGCTTTCAGGAGAGGAGATCTGGTAGAAAGTGATCTGAACAGCACATTTCCACTGTTTTGAAAGTGAGGAAAACCTTTTGCTTCTTGGAAGATAAGAATTAGGTGAGGAAGTGATTTTTATCTTGCTTAATCTGATCTAAATTAAAAATAAGATGACTTTTTATTCTTAAACATTTGTTTCCAGAAACAACTGCAAATGCAGAACAAGAACTGAAAGCCCCAGAAGGCCGTGTTGATCTTTTAGAGCAAGCTCAAGTTGGCAAGCCGCCTCCAAGCAACCAGGAAGAGCATCTTCTGGAGCAGACAAACCATGTTTCAGAACCAGCAGGTGAGAAATGCAAACCGCAGCATGAAACACTTATCAGCTAATTCTGCCTCATTGCCTCTCATGTGAAGACAGGATGAGAGAACTGGGCTTGTTCAGCCTGGAGAAGAGAAGACTCCAGGAAGAACTTAGAGCAGCTGCCAGTGCCTAAAGGGGATGACAGGAAAGCTGGAAGAGGGGCTTTTGACAAGGGCCTGTAGGAATAGGACAAGGGAAAATGGCTTTAAACATACAGAGGGGAGATTTAGATGAGATCTGAGGAAGAAGTTCTTCTTTGTGAGGGTGGTGAGGCCCTGGCACAGGTTGCCCAGAGAAGCTGTGGCTGCCCCATCCCTGGCAGTGTTCAAGGCCAGGTTGGGTGGGGCTTGGAGCAACCTGGTCTAGTGGAAGGTGTCCCTGTCTTTGGCAGGGGGTTGGAACAGGATGGTCCTTAAGGTCCCTTCCAACCCAAACCATTCTAGGATTCTGATTCTTTCTCACAGACCCTGTTCTCCCGTCCTTGTCAAGTAAAAAGCAACAAAGCTTTAATTTCACAAAGGTTATTAGTGCGTGCTTACATGGGCAATTAGCATTTGAAATTACCATCATATAATGTGTCCTTTTCTTCCTCATCTGTATTGTGCCAATGTCTGTCATAGTTTTTATTTCTGTTTAAAATTTAAAATTAACTACATCAATATAATTATGTTTTACAAATTAAAATTTGTTCTAATTACTTGTATCTAGTAATTTGGTAGTGTCTGCATGATTATATGCTAAGGTATATAGGAATGCTAGATGATTAGCATTAGAATTGGACTCCAGAGTGATAACGGAGTATATTTTGGAATTCAGCTCCAGTGGGAAGGTGGTATAGTCTGAATTTGATTGATTACAAGAAGGGGAGGGGGTGGGAAGCCTTACCAACCAACACTCACCCTGTGCTTAAGCTGCAAGACGGTCTTTGCTTCATGTTTTACTTCCACCTTGGCATGTCTGCAAAATACGAAATTGCTGCTTGAAATGGCATTGTGAGGAGATAATGTGTAGTAGACTACGATGTCTTATAAACTTCGTTCTTATGAAAAATAGAGTAAAACCTATACCCTTTTCCAGGGCTTGCTTTTAAACTGCAGGTTGCTGGTATTCCTAAGAACTGAAGCATTCTCTTCTTATATTTCCATTCCAGTAGAAGCAAAAGAAGCTGTTGCACTAGAAAATAAAGACCTCCTTCCAGAAAAATCTGTTACTGCTGTGGATGTTACTGTTACAGAGAAACAAAAGGAGGAGGCAGAACACAACCATGTCCAGCATGCAGAATCTCAGCAAGAAAAAACCATGCAGGAGCCCACAGGTAGAATATAAATAATAATTCAGTTTTAGAATGGAAATGTTCTCTGTGAACTGTTCACCTTTTCAGCTTTTCCTACTGACTGCGTTGCCACCTGAGTGAGCAGAAATCATTTTTTCACGAAGCAGCTGTGTGGTTCTCTGCATTCACTGGGGATTCTGCTTGTACTTTGCCTCTTATCTCTGCCCTCTTAAATACTCTTTTCCCCTCCACGTTCACCAGACTAATAGCCCAAATAATCTGCTGCTGGTACTTTATCACTGGGACTGGCTTGTTTCTATTCTGCTGTAGAATTTAAAAGCTCACCATCATTTTGCCATTACCACTAGCTTTTTATGTTGGTATTAAAAAGGACCATTGATTCTTATTACAGTATTCCCAGTGAAGACCTCCTTCCAAATTGAGTTTTGTAATTATGAAAGGAAATGTAATTTTATTTTCCTGGCCCATTAATGCAGCCTTTCCTAGCTGTTACTGCTTACACTTGTGACTGGAGGCTGATTTGTGGGCCAGGGCTAACTGACAAATAACTGATGCTCTCTTTAAAATCAGTGGCCTGTAGCTAAGGAAACCTACTGTTGCCTGTAATGGTGTACAGCAAATGACTTCTGTTACAGAGGTTCTGCCCTCCACTGCTTCCACCCTGGGTACTTTGGGAGACTTTGCACTTTCGCTCCCCCTTCCCCATTATGCCCGTTCTCTCTTCCCTAGTCTCATCTTTCCACTAAACTTCTATTTTCATATTATGGAAGGATGCCAGCTAGAGATATAAAAAGTATTATCTGTTATCTTGTATTGCTAAGACAAAATGGGTCCTTAATGAATCTTTAAAAAGCAATAGCATGTCCTTACAAGAACTGCTGCTTTTTGGTGGTGTAAGAGCATGTATTGGGAGTTATGTATTTTTAAATTGCATTGACGTATTTATCGGTAGCAGTTTAAATAGGTTTTGCGTGTAAATGTCTATCCCAGCCCTACTGAGGCGGCTTCAGAATTAGTGTGATATCAGTGTTGGAAAATTCTGCATATATGACTGTATGGAGTGTTTTAGCTGGCTAAAATCACATATTTAGTGTATTTAATTTTTTTTTTATAAAGCAAATAGTCTCTTTGATGTTTGAGCAGGCTTCCTGTATTCCAGGTCTACCTACTGCACAAATAAGGCAAGCTAACAAATCGAGTGAACGCAGGTTTGGCAGAGCAAAACCTGCACCAGTGCCTATTACAGATGTACCAGAGGAACGTCTAATAGGTCTCCCACAACAGAAGAGCACTGACCCAAAAGTAGACCCCTATTCTGTAGTGGAAATTGGATGTGTGGCTGGAACATCCCCTCGCACTAGGGTTTCACATAAAAAGGCAACTGAGCAGCCATCCAGTGTGCTCTCAGAGTTTGTGGAAAGCTGCAGAGATCTACCAAGGGAGAGCTGGGATTTGGAAGGCTCTCTGGCCATTGTGAAGAAAAAGAAAAAGAAACCAAAACAAAAGCGAAACCAGCTGCCAAGAACAATGGAGTTCTGGGATGAAAATGGAACAGTGTCAAAAGCTCCTAGAAATTCTCCATTTGCTGTTGAATTGCAAGAGCCAGATGTCTGTCCTGTAATGCCTGCTGAAGCTCGCACGGAGCAGTCAGTTGCCTCAGGAAACAGAGCTTCAGAGATGCCAAAGGATGCTAAAAAAATAACTGGAAGTCATATCCTGGATGAGCAAAATGCCTTTTTGGTGCCAGCACCAGGGCAGCAGGCCCCAAAACCCAATGTGCCGTTAGAATCAGTGTTGGATGCAAAAAATAGAGAGATCATGAAAACAGAAGAAATGAGAGATGACAGTTTGATGTTGCAATCTAAAGGCAAAAGAAAAGAGGTTCCCTTGGAGCAGCTAGGGAAGACTAAGGTGGGGGAATCTATTACAGCAAAGGGGCCAACCACGGCCATGGGAAGAGATTTTCTTGATAAAAATGAGAAGTATAGGGAGGCAAAATGTGCTGGCCTGACAGCATCTCCTTCAGAAGCAATAAACCTAAGCAAAGTAGAAACTCCTTTAGAGACCAGACCTTCAGAATTGCTTCTTTCTGACAGAAATAAGGAGGCTAAATCCACATCCCCCAGGAGTGAGGCATTCAGTTACCCTGTCCATTGTGAGGTTCAGACCTCCAGCAGGTCGCTGGAAGCAGCAGCAAAGAAAAGAGGTACTTGTGAAAAAAGCAAAGGGGTTGAAAACGAACCCCTCAAACAGCCTGCCCTTCCAGAGGCTGCGGGCCTGTCAGACAAGCTTCCTAATGAGCCAAAGGCAGCTGATGAAACTAAACCAGTGTCCCCCAGTAAGTGCATGGCTGTTGACTTTTGTACTTCAGAGGGAGGTTTGAAGCTCCCAACAGATACTACAGAAATTCTTGTTTCACCATTAGTTGTACTGAACCCCAAGGAAGTTACTGCTTTGCAAAACAGAAAGGCTGATAGTTTTTCAGAGCAGCCATTTCTTCTGTCGGCGAAGTCTGATGCAACTAAACATCCTACCTCCACTGAAGCAGTGGAAGGAATCATGGGAGCAGGTTCCCCTGATAAAAACAAAGGGAAAGGATTTATTGCGTTAGAGCAGCAGGCTGGAAGAGATCCCGATATTGCACATGGGATGGACAGACCTAAAAAAAAGCGTGGCGAAGGGAAAGTAAAAAAATTCAAAAGCTTCTCCGAGCAGGTGATGTTTTCAGAGGATGTAAGCAGACTAAATGATGGAGTGAGGGTAGATGAGACTAGAAAAGATACAGCTTACCCTGATAAAGGTAGAGGTTTTGCTGCAAGAGGACATCCGTCAGTAAGCAATGCACATTCTTATCCTGCAGACAAGCCCAAAAAAAGAGGTAGTGATGGAAGAAGCAAAAAAGGTGAAAGAAGTTTTTTCCAGCAGCCTTTTCTTGAGAGTAAGATGGACCCGAGTAGCTTTCCTGACATAACTGATAAAGCTGAGGAGGTTAGTGTTAGTGATGAAGGCAGAGAGAGGGTCTGGGTTACTGCGGAGTGTTTTCAGGGGAATAAATCAAATATAAGTAAAATGCAAAGGCAAATTGAACTGGGAACAGAGGAGCCTAAAGAAAATGTTGGGAATAAAGAAATAGCCAATTTGGGTGCTTTAGACCAACCATTCCTGCTGGAGAGTAGGAGAGTGGAAGCGGAGCATCTCGTTATGGCTGACATGATCAGCAAAACAGAAGAGGTAGATTTGATTAGCAAAGGCAAGGAGGCTGGAATAACTTCTGAATCAATGGTGAGGAATTCTGATGCGCTGCTGGTGGCAGACAAACCTAGAAAGAGGAGCAGTGAGGGGAAAAGAAAAAAACCTGAAAAAAGTCCTTTGAGGCAAGCAGCTCTCCGGGATAGTGGGGTGGAAACAAGCAATTTTCCAAGCAAAGAGAAGGTGGCTGGAAGCACAAAAGAAATTATCTTTGACAAAGATAAGGTGTCTGGTTTTGAAAGAGAACTTGAGCTGGAGAATCTGTCAGATATAACCAAAGAGGTGCTGGCAAAGCCTGAAAGTCAGGGTGGTGATAGAAAAAGTTTCTCAAATGAGCCAATTCTTTCAGGTCATAAAATAGAGACATCAGAGCCAGAAATAATCAACACTAAAGAAACTTGGCCCATGAATAAAGGTAAGGAAGTAGATACAGCTGAGCCTCGGCCAGAATGCAGGTCAGATGCAGCTGCAGCGCACAGTCTGACCATGGGACTGGTGATGGACAAGCCTAAGAAAAAAAGTAGAGATGAGAAAGGCAAAAAGGATGAAAACAGTCTTGAGCACTCTGTACTGAGTCCAGGTAACATCCCTGTGGTAAGTGAAGAGTTGGGAAACATTAAAAAAACTCAGCCTTTTGATAAAGGCAAAGAGACTAATTCCAGTACCTTAGCCAGTCTGATAGGTGACTTGACTGATACTACTGAAGTACAAGCTCCTGCTGTACCTCTGGAGCCAGAAAAATCACACACAAGTAGTAAAGAGAAATGCAAAAAGACAGAGGCTAGCCTTCAGCAGCCATTCCTTCTGGGGCATAAAGCAGGTGCAGAGATGTTTCCTCCTCATGATGTGGAGATAACCAACACATTTGAAGCAGGAAGTCCCTCTCCTTGCAGCAGTGGTGGGGAGCTGCCTGTCCTAGAGCACCCAACAGTGGCAGATCGCACTGTGACTGCAATTACTGATAGATCTAAAAAGAGGGGTCATGATGGAAGTAGTAAAAAGGCTAAAAATGCCTCTGAACAGCCTGTTCTTCTAGAGACAAAACCAATCAGGAGTGAAGTACAGCCTCCCGTAGGATCTGAGATGGCATATGGAATAGAAGCCATGGATTTTGTAGATGAAAATAGAAATATTAAAAACTTCCCAATTGGTCCTCAGATGTTTTGGAATAATAAAGGCAATGACTTGGAATCCTTTGCTCAGACTGGAGGGACTGCCTCCGATAACACTGGCAGTGTTTCTTCTGTCTTCCCAAAGCAGACTGATGAGGGTGCAAGAAGTAAGGGGCTTTCTTCTCTGGAAGCAATAGCAGAGAAAAGCAGCAGAGAGCCTGGACCTGGTGCTAAGGAAGAGATACAGAAATCTTGTGAGCAGCCAATCAGTCTGGGGCACAAAGAGCCTGGAAAAGAGGTTTCAAAGAAAGATGGTGAAAGCAAGGAGGTTGGTTCCCAGGATAGCAGTGAGGCAGGTAAACCCCTTTCTTTGGATCAGTCAGTTAAACAGGACATTAAGTTGAAGAAGGATGAAGTTCCCCTTTCTCCTATGGCAAAAGTGGATGATAAAGAAGTAACAACCACTGATAAAAAGCACAACACTGACAACACTTCCTCAGACCTTCCTCAGCAGGTGGGAGATTCAGAAAGTAGACCAGCTCCTTTAAGTGCCGAAGCAGCAGAGAAACTAGAGGTAACTGTCTCTTCTAGAGGGAAGGATCCAGAACTTGTAGTGGTACCGGAGAGCAGAGCAGAAGCAGCTGTGTCGCAGGTTGTGGCAGAAGCGCCGGTGGAGAGTAAACCTGAAGAGCCTAAGTTGGATGGAGGGAAGAAGAGTGAGCAGAGCTCACCAAAGTACTCAAGCAGTTTGGACAGTAAAGTGATGGAAACAGAAGCTGCTGGTTTAAATCTGGCAGCTGTCCAAACAACCAAACTAAGTCCTGAAGATAACAATAAAGGTCATTCTCAGCTTGCAGAAGTGGATGCTTCTCAGGATGGGGAAGCCCACCTAAAGGATGCCCTGGCATTGAAGTCTGAAGTAGGTACACCTCAAGACACAACTAAAGAAAAGGAAGGAGAGTGTGAACAAAAAGTTGTGAAGGAGGCAAAGAAAGAGAGAGTTAAAGCAGCAGAACAGATAAAAAGCTACATGAGACCCACAAAGTCAAGAGGGGTGCCAGCTCTGCCAGCTAGGTCTGCTGCACCAGACAGAGAGAAACAAAAGCAGCTGAAACCCACTGGTATGGGCCGGCAGAAGCAAGAAAAAGGTGTGTGTTTGCCGTTTGAGCTAGCAGCAGTAATCCAGACGGCTTGCCTGCAAGACCTTGCTGTTTGTCAGTGCATTGGCATGAATACATAACCGTTAATCCTATGTGGCACAAGCAAGTGTGGCATGACTGGGGTTTTGGCTGATCTTAAAAGGCTGTTGGTTCTGCTTGCCTGTCTCACAGTGCTAATTCCCAAAATTTAGAGGATTGACAGTTTAATCTAAATACCAGAACTCTTGATTATTTTTTTTAATTATTCATTCAGATTTAATTTTACATATATATTGTCAAATATTTGAGTAAACTTGCACTTTTTAATGTTATGTTGCATTAGCTTCTTGTCATCTGAGAGTGAAGGTGACCATCTGTGGTGCAGCAGTGAATCACTTGTGATCACTGAACAGCACTGTATGTCACTGGCAAGCAGGGAACCGAGTATCTTGGTGGTAGGAAATGTTCTCTGTCGCTGTCGTGTTGCAGGGTTTGGTTTTAATCCTACTTCAGGCTAACTACAACCATCTACTTTTCCTCTTGCCATTGGTTAAGGACTGTATCTTAAGCTACCTTGAACTACTTCATCTACAAATGTGCTTCCTTCTAGAATAAGAATCTCTACTAAAGTGAAGTTGTAACAGAACAATAGCAGGACTAATACAAATTTTAAGACTTTATCTCTCTGTTGAGATTACGAATGGGCTGGTAAGTGTTTTGGATCATTTACCTTGGCTGTTTTCCAGGGAATGAGATTCCTGTACTAATAGGAAATGAGATGGAATTAATTTCATAGAATTTAATGAAGTTTATAGGAATTTTGAAATGGGGAAACTCTAGTATGGGTAGAGATGAAATAAGAAATATTCTTGTACTTCTCAACCTTCCTCAGAAAGAACTGGCATCTTCTCTGTGAATTCCAGTCTGCTGAGATGGCCTGGGGAAGTTTATCCGTGCCCTTAGGTGCTCTTGGTTTTTTGCCTTGTCATCGGCATGCAAGTTTGTTGCTGTTCTATTTCCGTGGAGTTCCTTGCTGCCAGTTTGCATGATGCAGCCACTAACTTAACAAACGTAGAGCTCAAGTGCGCCTTAACATGCTGGTCAGGTTTTTGAGAGGTTTTGTAATTTTAATGAGTGTTGCGTAACCTGAAGTAGTTCTATTTTAGTGGAAGTGGTGTTCTCTGCATGAACTTGTGCCTGCAGAAGTGATGCTCTTTGGTGCATGACAGTACAAAATAAAGGGGAAGCTAAAGGCAACATCTTTAAAAAAGACCCCAAACATTTCTTTAAAGCCTTTCCATTGTCTGCCAGAAGTCTTGATTTTCCTTAACTAACTGCTGTATTCAAGGGAGCAGAATTTTAGTAGCAGATCCGTGCAAAAAAGGATCCTGAATGTTTTGCACAGGTAACTTATGTATGGAGTTGAAGGATTCCTGGTTCAGAGTAGTACTTCTGAATCTGAGTAAGTTGGTTCATACTTTGCATCTGTAAGTTTGCACAGGACTTCAATGATAGTCTGTTGATTTCATCCTTTCAGCACTTCATAGGCCCAACAAATGTTGGATCTGTGTTGAAGCTTTGAATGACTGAGCTTGTTCTGGAAATGTTGGTTGACGTGTTCCTATGGCAGTTTAAATCCAAATGCTGCTGAGGAGTGCTAGCCACAGAGCTGGCCCCTGGCATTGCCTTAGGCAGCTTCATGGTGACTGCACAACATCTGGGCTGAGTGACAAAGCATAAGTTGCTGTGGAGAAGCAGGGCCACAGATTTGCTCTGCCATCCAGATATGTTGTCAAGGCTTGTCTCTCTTTCCATCCACTGCCCAACTCATAACGAAGCAGCTGTTCAGTGAGTTGCAAAACTGAATCCCTAAGTTGGCACAACTGGTGTGGAAGTGCCTTAGGCTGGATCTGAGGATGAAACAGTGAATTCATGCATCAGCTGAACACAAGTCAAAACCAGAAGTCGATGAAGGGAAAGGTGTTGAGATTCCGGACCATGAACGTGCTTGTTTACTGCACAGAGAAGGAGCTGAAGGGATCCAGGAGTTCATTATTATAATTCAGATTTTCACTAAGCTGATGGAGCCGTGGACTGTACAGGCCTTGCGTGCCTGTTCATCCTTCTGTTAAGGTAACATTTGACTGCTCAAAGGTTTTGTGTTTTCACCTGTCACCAGAACTTGGCCACCACTTCATCTGTATTGGTCAGGTAGGACTGTGAAGCTCATACTTTGCAACACTTACTATCCACCCTTTCCCCTGGTGATCTACTGTCAGAATAATGCATGTAGATATTTTGAAAGATCTTCTGCTGAAGTTTAGGAAATAAAATTTCTTTAGCCAGGCTCCCATGTCTCACACTGTGTGTTCTAGAATAAGAGGATGGCTTTCCTAAATGCATCGGCTCCTGTGCGTACTGCTAAAATAGGTACAAGCTTTGTGATACAGCCCCCTTTGGGAGTCATGGCAACTGTGATGCTGCAGATTTGTCTCGCTGACAGAAGTTGTATGTATCTCTTGGAAATTAGGCCTGCAAACTTCTGTAATTTTTTTTTTCTAATTTTGACTTTGCAGCTTAAAGTTAAGAAATGCTGGATGCAAGGGCTGTTCATGAAATTTGAGTTTAATCCTTTATCCATCTTTCGGATTTATTTCAGCTTCTCATTTTTGTTGTTGCCATTGTAAGAACTGCCCCAGATTCTTCTGGAAAATTATTTTATACTTTTTAATGTCAGGAGGCAGCTGAGATGATAACCAAACCACATCAGACATTATCAGCCTTTAAAATGCAGCTGAGCCTTTATGCTACATCTTGTGTGGAATTAAAACTAAAATTGGGAATTCTATCTAAAAAGAAGGGTCCTAAAAGTCATGCTTCCAAGCAGGTGCCCTTGGCTGATGTGGGGCTGGGGATCTAATGATGAGAAATGGTTAACAGAGGAAATGATAGAAGGTTTTCTGTCACCCATGTTGAGCCATTTGATTTGGATTTATTGCTAGCATCCCTCTTCCTATTACTCCTCAAGTTGTATTTCATAGAATCCTTGAATTGTCTGGGTTGGAAGGGACCTTAAAGCTCAGCCAGTTCCAACCCCCTGCCACAGGCAGGGACACTTTCCACCAGACCAGGTGGCTCGAAGCCCAGTCCAAGCTGGCCTTGAACACTGCCAGGGAAGAGGCAGTCACAGCTTCTCTGGGCAACCTGTGCCAGGACCTCACCACCCTCACAGGGAAGAACTTCTTCCTCACATCTCATCTCAGTCTCCCTTCTGTCAGTTTAAAGCCATTCCCCCTTGTCCTGCCCCTAAAGGCCCTTGTAAAAAAAGTAACAGCAGTTTCAACAACGAGACTTTCAGAAGATTGTTTTCTTTCTCTAATCTGTCATTAATGATTATTCTGTTAAAAAAAAAATTTCAGTTTTTGGGGTTCTGTAACTTCTGGTTCTCATCTGCATTGCTGTTCAGGAAGGGGCCATCTTCGCATGACTGTTGCAGTGATGTTCTGGTACTTAGTGCTGCAGTAGCTTCGGTACTGGCAGAGTGAAGCTCTTATTGCATGACCCCACTGTGGTCTGTACGGTTTTGCTTCTGAATCATTTTCGCAAGCATGGAATGGAGGGGTCTGCTAAAGTGGTTGTCTGATGCTTAGTTTCCTCTCTTTCATCAAGAGTTTCCAGTACAGTCTCTGTTGTTGCCCGCTATGGGCATCCCTCCAGCACCCACCCTTTCAGCTGCCCCGATGACAAGCTGTCATTGCAGCCTGTTGGCACAGCACCGCTGCCTGTAATACAGTACATATTTCTCAGTATGACAGCCCTAAATCCCTTGTGTGTAAATAAGATGCATCAAAAAACAAGAAACGCCATCCCTGCTGAATTACAGTATTTGCTTTTCTTCTGCAGCCACAATGAAGCCCTTTCTCTAAATATTTTCTTTTCCTGACTGGTTTCCATTATGCTGGTGTCATCGTCATGTGAAGTTGGTTTAGCATTTCCCTGGTAACCTTTCATTCATACAATGTCTGTCATTCTCCTGTGGGACCTCAAACTGTAATTGGGTTTCTCTGCTAGGAGCTGATCAGCCACTTGAGCACAGTGGGGTAGGATATGGATGTGTCACTAACAGCATCCGTCTTAGCTGAAATTACAGCACAAAGACAGTTGTACCTCCTAATACCAGTGCTGCTTTAGTAGCACTTGTGAAGTGGTCAGAATAATATCATATTGCAGCCTGTTCGTTAGTTAAGACCTGTTAATTATCCCAGTTAGGTGTATGAGAGAAGTGAAAATGAAACAATGTTGCCAGCCAGTTCTCATGTCAGAACTAAATATATTTATGAAGCAGCAATAGAATTTTGCTATTACCTGCTTTCCCCCTATTTTTTAGCACTTGTGTGTTTGTATTTGCTGCTTTAACAGAAGGTTTTGTTGAGGTTATCAGTTCTACCCATCATTTAAGAGTGGGATGAGCTTAGAGGATGCTTTTGCAGATACTGGGTGTTTAGAGGCCCATTTGTCTTCTGTTGGACAGAAGTGTAGCCCTGAATGTGTTCTCTTCAGGGTTGCTCAAAACAGCTGTAACTTCCTGCATATGCCCTTTTTACATTGTTGGGTTGTTTTTTCACTGGATGTTACACTGATACTGACTTTATCTCAAGCTGGACTGTCACATGCAGCAGCTCTCACTTGAAGCTGGCACTCACAGTTTTTGGCCAGGACTTCCTAAGTTTTGTTTTCTTCCTTTATTTTATATTCCTGCCGATCGCTGACACTCCTAATTTGAAGAAAAGCTGGGAGAAAAATAAATATACTCCTGTTTGTAAATTCTGCCAGGTTCAGAATGGTGAATGTGATTCCTTAGTGCTGTTTAACTTTCAAGGCTCATCTTTCCTGGCTGATCTTGCTAGTTCATTGCTTCTGTATCATTCAGTTGACCTCGCTTTTTTCTCTTTTCAGTTTCCACTATCAAATACACCTGCGATAACCAAATACTGGTAATATTCTGAGTT